CTGAACGGTACATTGATGAAGGTTAGCAACAAAAACCTTTTTGCACTCACGTTTGATTTCCTCGACCTGTTATTCTGCGGCAATGGATCTGTTTCTCTTTCAGAAATCTTGTTTCTTTTCCTGTTTATCTGTAATTTTGTTGCTTAGTTTTGACGGTTGCTTGTGGTCATGGTCTACTTCTAATAATTTTTTGGGAACAATTACTTAGAACAATTACTTATGCATCGGTAGCCTTGATATAAAGTGCCAGTATTTATTGTCTTATGTGTGTTAGCCTGTGTCTTATGTATTTGAGGCTGCAAGTTTATTGGTATTCAAAATAATGCGCAAGTAGTCATTGGCTTCCATATGATACAAGCTTTACACATCTGATACGGGATTGCTGTATGCTCACAGGAATGCATCCAAGGGTTTTGGTTGATGGTTTTGAAATTGCCAAAAGGGCCACCCTCAGGTTTCTTGAAACATTTAAGACTCCTGTTGTCATTGGTGATGAACCTGATAAGGAGATTCTAAAGATGGTTGCGAGAACTACCGTGAGAACTAAGGTATCCTGTTTATGGGTGAACAATTATAAAATTCTTTGTTTGTTTCATAGTCTATAACTTATCCTGTGGCCATGCTCATTTTTCTTTATTCTCATCCAGCTGTACGAATCTTTGGCTGATCAGTTGACTGACATAGTTGTAAATGCTGTAAGTTTACTCATTGCTGATTGATGTTCCTATAGTTTAATACTAATAATCTGCACCTTGTCCTAGTCCAAGTCCCTTGTCATTAACAGCAAGTTTATTTGAATGACAGGTTCTCTGCATACGAAAACCCGAGGAGTCTATTGACCTATTCATGGTGGAGATTATGCACATGCGCCATAAGTTTGATGTTGATACACGGCTGGTAGGTTTTGTTTTATTTCTCATTCAGAATTGTATTTTTGCCGGATGTTTATGTTGCTCTGGTCATGGTCCATTCTATGACATAGGTGTGTTTTTAACTCTATCAAGTTTGGTCTTTTCATGATTACTGTTCTGTACCTGATGAAGTAGTTTGTTCTGTGGCATTCTATAGTGGACATCTATCTTTAATGTTTTTGTGTGTAAAATTCTACCCCTATTGGATGTGCTTAAGGAACCTACTCTTCATGTATAGCCTCTGAATCATTTTACTAAATTGTGGTTTCGTTTAGGTCGAAGGTCTTGTCCTCGATCATGGTTCTAGACATCCTGACATGAAGCGGCGGGCAGAGAACTGTCACATCTTGACGTGCAATGTTTCTCTGGAATATGATAAGAGGTAGTATTTTTTTGCAAAATGTGTACTAAACTGATATATATATCTGAGTTAAGCTAACCCCCAAACTCCCTTTAAAAACCAGTGAGATAAATGCAGGGTTTTTCTATTCAAATGCTGAGCAGAGGGAAGCGATGGTTTCTGCTGAAAGGCGTCAAGTTGACGAAAGAGTGAAGAAGATTATAGAACTAAAGAATCAGGTTGTGCAACATCAACCAACTTCATGCTTTCTCTTTGCTCTTTTGATTTCTAATTATGCATATGCTTTTTGGTAACTTGCAGGTTTGTTCTGGTAATGACAATAACTTTGTTGTTATTAATCAAAAGGGCATCGACCCTCCATCTCTGGATCTTCTAGCAAGAGCAGGGGTAAGTTCTTTTTTCAAATCTTTTCTTGAGTGGTCCACCACATATAAGTTTGGAATGCAATCCGTGTTCATTGGCTACCCATGCTTACTACAGAAATTTTTTTATGTTCTACTTGAGAGATAGTTGAGTGCAGGAGTTTGTCTTTAATTTCTAGTCCTGTCTTAATTTCTATTTGAGAGATAGTCAACTGAGGGCTGCTTAATTTATTTTACTCTAGTGACTACTAGTTGTTAAGTCAACTTAAATGACTATAGTACACTGGGGTAAATAATATATGCCATGAAATGCTGACTCTGTTTTTTCACAGATTATTGCCCTCCGAAGAGCAAAGCGTAGGAATATGGAACGCCTGGTATTGGCTTGTGGTGGAGAAGCTGTTAACTCTGTTGATGATATGACTCCTGATTGCCTTGGATGGGCTGGTTTGGTTTATGAGCACATCCTTGGTGAAGAAAAATATACTTTTGTTGAACAAGTCAGAAATCCGCATTCTTGTACAATCTTAATAAAAGGTATATGTTCATCCTTGCCAATCTTTGTCACTATATGGGTTTTCTGTTCGCTTCTCGATGAAAGATATGTTCTTGCTCCCATAATCTTGTAGGCCCCAATGACCACACTATTGCGCTAATAAAAGATGCAGTACGAGATGGCCTGAGAGCAGTTAAGAACACCATTGAGGATGAAGCTGTTGTACTTGTAAGTTCTTGCAAATATGTTGTTCCTGCACAGCTTCCGTTATTTATGCTTTCTTAGTAATCTGTTTAATTTGGCTGGCTGCTGGTGTCTGCCAGTGGCTATCCAAATAGGTAACAGTGTACTTTACTCACTCTCTGCATTGGGAAATGTATTTAGTGCTCTTTATACTTACCGGGTAACCTAACACTCGCGCAACCTAATTGCAATATGAATGATAAATGTAGTCCTGTTTGTCTACCTGCCAAATCTAGTTTTCACACAATGTTCTTATTTTCCTAAAGGTAAGGATTTCGTTTTTGGATGGAAGGTCAAATGTAAATTGTACTGAAAAGTAAACCTGAAACTGTCCATTAGAACTTACTGTTGATTTAGTGACAATAACCATAAAAGATTTTATCACATGGGTGAATCATTGTTGTCTACAAGTTTCTGATGATCCAATGTGTTCTCTTCTCTTGCCTAGGGAGCTGGAGCTTTCGAGTTTGCGGCCAGAAAATACCTACTCAGTGAAGTGAAGAGAACTGTTAAAGGGGTAACTAGAACTGTACTTTTCTACGTTGGACTGTCTTCTCATTCTCCATTCACTACTGATGGTTGGTTCTTATAATAAATTTGCTGCAGCGTGCTCAACTTGGTGTTGAAGCTTTTGCTGATGCCCTTCTTGTGATACCAAAAACTCTTGCTGAGAACTCTGGGCTTGACACTCAGGATGAGATAGTTTCCCTTACGGTATTTACCCATAGAATTATTTTTATAAATACTTTCAGTTTTTTCAACTTTCAAGATAAATATTAAATATACATGTGGAACTTGATTCAAGTCTTGCTCTCTTTGTTCAGGGAGAACATGATAACGATAACATTGTCGGAATCAACCTCCAAACAGGAGGGCCCCTTGACCCTCAGATGGAGGGTATTTTTGATAACTACTCAGTCAAACGCCAGCTTTTAAACTCAGGGTATGCACCTATGTTTTGTTTTTCTGTTATTCTCGAACTGTCAGTATTTTACGCATCTTTTACCTCTATGCATCACTGTGACTTCTCCCTTTCGTCACCCTCCCTTCATGGCTTTTGTTTTGCGATCTTCTCAATAATTTGCAGGCCTGTGATTGCATCTCAACTGTTGTTGGTGGATGAAGTGATTCGAGCTGGGCGTAACATGAGAAAACCTACCTAGGTGGCAGGCAGAGCTTCTTTCCTTGCCTTTGGATGAGTCTTCAAGTTTATTGGGGCCTTCGTTTTGATGTGATGTAGGAGAGTTGTGGTTTTGGGGGATTGTTAAGTATTATCTTGTCTTGAAGTCGACTGGTGGAATTTTGCTCTTAGATTCTAACCGATGTCATCAGTATTGATGACAATCTGGAGATTTTTTGGAAAATGATGGATGAGTAATGGTTCTCGTCTTTTATGTTTACTCTTCAACAAGATCTTGGATATCTTGTTGAAAAACGGTAACAACACATTTCTGGTCCGTTTTTGTGTCTCTTTCTAGTTGAAGGAGTTTCAATCAATTTCACACCTTATCTTCTTACAAACAGCTATCAGAACATCGATCACTATGGACAAATCAACCCACCAAGAGTCTCTAACATGTCTTCGAAGTTTGAGGGCGATCTAACGGTTAGTTTCTCCAAAATCCTCCCTATAACCAACTTCCCAACTACATGAAAGCAGGGTCACACCCTGTCCAACCAGCAACATATCTTGACGAACCAGAAATCATAACGACGATCCCAATGTTAGATCCTAGAAAGTATGGAATGCGTCCTCCAAATTTGAGGACGATCCAACGACGGGTTATTGAAATTCCCTCAAGAACTCTTTTTTTGCTTCACAATTCCCCATAAATTTTATGGTTCCTTCAAGGTTTGTTGTTAATGGTGATGAGAGTATGGAGAGTGGAAAGGAAAGAAAGTACCGAAAAGGGGAAGGGGAAGGATATGAATGAGGGTGCAGGTTTTTGCATCTTCATTCTCTAGAAATCTCTCCCCGTTTCTCTTTTCCCCAACCACAAATATCCAAATGTCCAATCTAAAAACTTGGTTTCCACTTAAACCATCCAACTTTCTTTTAGTTTCAATTAAGCCTTTCAATTTTCAACTCACTTCACATTCTTTTTTTTTTAAAATGCGTTTCATAATCCAATTAATCAAACACCTTCCTCATGTCATAGTTAAAATTCACCCAAATATTGAGATGATGTCACCTTGATGTGAGCATGACATATGACATGTTCAAGAGGGGCGATGATGTTACACCACAGCTCAATCAAGTGATAACTTTGTTGTTTGATGTGCGGCTTAAGTGATTAATATTTACTTATAATTTGATTCCTCGCATTCAATGGATGAAGAACATTGTAATAAAAGAAGACTCAATAATCTTGTTTAATTTGATATCTAAATTGAAACAAAAGGACCGATAATGAGATGTAGTTGTTAATTGGTTATACTTTTTTTATGAATGAAGAAGCCTCGGTATTTCCTTATTGCATTGATGGTTTAGTTGTACGTTTTCTCTACTATTAAAAGTTTGTCAAATTAGATTATCTGCATGAGTAGTGACCTTTTTAAACATGATAGATAGTTTGTTGAAGATTAATCAGATTATACACAAATACCTACGCTATTACACTACACATTTACATTTTAAATTTTTATTCATGTTTTCTCTTCTGGGTAGATACACACATTTTAGTACATTAGTTGTACTAAACAAATCCTGGACATATTTCAAGGCTTATCAGGATCAAAGTCTAATCTAGCGAAATGTGAAATTTTTTATGGTGGGATGTCCGTAGGAAACCATAATACATTAGCAAGGGCACGAGACAACTCTTTCTAAGGAAATCAGCAAAATAACCCCGTAACTTTTTTGGTCAGGCTGCCAGATAAGGAAATTGCTTGTGAGATACTTCAGGGTGCCTCTATTAGCAAGGAAGCTATCAATTAAGGCGTGTCAACATTTTTTTATATATATAAAGGGTGCCTGTATGCTTATTATTTAGTCATGAGAAGAAGAAGCCTTATAGTCACTAATTAATTGGGGTATAAGCCAAATGGGTTGTCGGTCGAACCAAACTTCGGTTTCCTCCCATCTGCAAAGAATCCGGGCCATTTGGTGGGCAACTTCATTTCCTTCCCTTCCCCAGAATCTCCATTCAATCCCTTTCTCCTGTGCCTTTTCCTTGATCGCTTCACACACAGTATCAATCTCCAGATTACTCATCTCTTTCCCTTGTAGCTTATAGATCAAACTTTGACAATCTGTCTCCATCAACACCGGGTGAAATTGATGTTGATCTACAAGTTTCATTCACCAGAGCAATGCTTCCGCTTTCGCCATTTTAGGACGCCAGCAGACTCGAGATCTGTGGACTACCGCCATCACAAATTGTCCTTTCTAATCACGAATCACCAGGCCAAAACCCGTTCCCCCATCCTTTAGAATACTCGCATCTACATTTGCTTTGAACCCTGCCATCGGTTTCTCCCATCTGTATCTTCGACGCGGCACTGCTGGCAACAAATCTGATTCCTGAGCTCTGCGATATTCATCCAGGTAACTTTGGGCTCTCTCCACCACCTCCCACTCCTCCAATTTTTGATTGTTGAATTGATGGTTGTTTCTTTCTTTCCACAGGAACCATAGTGTTACTAGGAATTTGCAAATCTCCTCGTCCATTGCCTTTTCCAATAGTTCAAAGATCCAGTTCGCACAGCTTTGTTCTTCCCCCATCTCAAACATCTTTCTCAGGTAACTAGGTCTCCATATTCTTCCCGCCCAGTCACAATCTCTTGTTATATGTTCTTGTGTTTCCACCAATCCACAGAATGGGCACTCTTCATTTGCATCTGGGATTCGTTTGGCTAGGTTTCTACCAATAGGTAAAATATTAGATCCCCATCTCCAAACAAAGACTCTAATCTTTGGTGGCAGCTGTAGCTGGCATAATCTAGCCCAATCAATGGGTTCATACTGCTCTGGAATTCCCTCGAATCGTTTCAACCTCCAAGCGCGATACCCTGTTTTAACTGTGTAGAACCTTGTTTTGCTTTTTTCCCAGCACCAACTGTCTGGTCTAGGTCTTACTGGGATAGGGATGGATAGTTATTCTTTCTCTATCGATAGGCTGGAAGTGTTGCTGTAGAAGATTACTTCGCCATGATCGATGTAACACCCTACCCGGCCGAGTACTACTTTTACTAAAATGCCTTTAATAAATAAAATACTCAAATCTTAAATTTCAAATGGGAAAAATTTTCATAAATAAAATACTGAAAACACACACTTGTAGTTCAAAGCAAAGCCCTAACACATGGGCAAATTAAGCTCAAACTTTAAAATCTCAACCTGATCTCCAGTCTAAACTCATAATCATAAATGTAAATAACTAATAGTCTCTAATGTTGTTGCTACTGAAACCTTGACTAAGCATCCTCTATGACGCTTATACTGCCCTCCTCTAGCTGCCTGCTCTCGAATACGCTGCTCACTAAATGCTCCTCTAGCTCTTCCTCTAGCTCTCCAAACTGGTGAGTGAGATGGGGTCAGTCTACGCCCTTACGTCTAAATACTTATAATACCTGAGTACTTTACTTAAACACTTAACTTTAACTAGTGGAAGTTGTTTGTACTTTCAATCTTAAAATCTTAACTCTTAAACTTTGAGGGAGTTGAAGTTACTCTCCTCTCTTAAAGCTCAAATCTTGACTTAAATCTTTTGACTGACACGGGATCCCTCACTAGCTAGTCCGGCTGCCAACTCATACGTATGAGAAGCCATCTAGGCTTTCCTTAAACTTAAACTTAGTTAGGGAAGTGGTAACGATTCATCCCCCTAACATCTTAAACTTATCGTGGTGGCTCTTCACCACGATTCTCAAGGGCATAACTGCTGCCCATCTTAAAAGTCTCAAGAGCATAACTGCTGCTCTATCTCAAACGGTCTCACAAGGCAACGGACTGGCGCTAGTGACTAAAAACACTTAAAACGACTTCACCTTCTTGAAGGTGAGTTACTTCTTAAAAAGAACTTGCTTCTTAACTTTAACATTAACTTATAAACTTAAAGCTTAAATTTAAGTAAGAACTCATGCACATTCACATCAAACATAGCTCAAACAAAATCACATATCATCAACCATAATCATACGTAAGCACACGATTTCACATAAAACAACTTCTTAAACACGCAAGGCAGATACTTGAAAAATACGTAAGGCGCAGAATTTACCCCCTTTACACTCACCTTAGCATAATCGTCTTACTCGAATAAGCCCCAAATTTGATGTGTTTTGAGATAAACCAATCCCCGTGGTCTTCTTGTTCTTCTTCTCCTTTCCCTTTGATCCAACATTTTACCCTCCAATTGATTACATCGCCATCACTATCCAAGACTTCGACCACCCCCAATTCTTCTCAAACGCTACCGCCGATGACACACCACCAACGTTATCACCATCAGATTCAGCAACAAAGAGTTCTTCCTGCATAGGCTTCATATCCCACACCACTTCGTTCACCAAGCGCGAGAATGATGAAAGGGCGCCGCTAAAGAAGAGTATCTTGTTACGATTCAAATGCCAGCCTGCCATTACCATAGGTACAAACAACACCATACACGCAAGCAACAGTCCAAACCGCTTCCGCTGTTGAATTATTTTCAGATCCCAAGGGTCGCCATTATCACGAGTAAGACAAAAGGAAAAGAGAAGCGGAGTCCCCCCCCCCCCCCCCCAAGGTTGCTTTGCTTGGTGCTGCTGGTGAGGAAAAGCAATTAGTCGGGGGAGGGTTTTGGTGATTTCTCACTGAGGCTTGTGGGAGTTACAAAAAGAGGGCGGTGGGGTTTAATGCTGGCGGTGTTTGGGAATAAAAGGAGGGGAGGGCGCTGAGGGCTGCTCGGCCCTAGGTCCGAAATATACTTTTTTATATAATAAAATAATAATAATAATTATTATTATTTCTACTAATCCGCGATTGCAATTTTTAGTACGCAATTGTCAACCCAACTGATCATGTATTATGGTCGAACCATAACCCAAATTGGGGGTGTTACATTTCCTCCACCCTTATAAAAATTTCGTCCCCGAAATTTGCTCGGAACTCATCCTTCCATACTCCTCATTCTCGTGCTTCTTTGGGTCAAGATTTCACTCTTGCTATATGAACTTCAATGGCATGCCCTTACCTTGTCTTGAATAGATTACTATAGTTCTTATATATACTCTTGACAACAAAAGGTATTCTCATCTAGCTCGGTAGCATCGAATAGGTTTGAGTGACTCATTGCCCTTTTCAAAATTTTCCAACTTGGCCCCAGCACTTGATGTTGAACCTATCGAAGTCGAGGTATCACATTTCCTCCCCACTTATAAAAATTTATCCCTCGAAATTTGTCCACTGTGATTACCCTAAGCATCGCTTGTGGTAATCCTTTTCGCTTCGCGAATTTTTATTTCCTTTAACTTATACGACGTGACCTAAAATCCTTCTCTCCATTCCCTGCAACTTCAATGTTGTTGTGGCTTCTTAACCCCTCACATTACCTCGGCTGCACCTTGTACATATATAGGAACGATAACTATCCATTGTTCGGTACATAAGAAGTTAATGCCCCTCTCCAACCCCAAGGTTACAGATGGCAGCTTATCCTTTATTCAGTCAAATGGTAAAACTCCTTTAACATAACTCTCGTCCGGGGTTGTTCTCATAGATCACCTAGGTCCTTGTATCTCCTAACTTTGCATCTCTTACTTTCTTCCTTAATGCCTCGTCGTATCCATTAACCATAAACTGAATAGTCACCTTCTTGTTACTTGCTGCTTAGTGCTGGAACCTCATACTATTGCTTTTACTTTCTGTATGCATTAGAGGCATCCTTTGTATATTTCTCTAGCTTGCGATTAACTTTATGACTTCTTTCCAGAATCATGACCTTCCATTTTGAGTACCTTTCCACTCATGGCGCCTAACTTAACACTTCCTTATTGTTGCTTGAATGTTATGTTCTCTTACTATCCCTTCTGCCAATCTTGTACCCTAGCTGAAATTCATCGTACGGTTTCCCCGTCCAATAAATTTTTATCTGAGAGATTGGCACCTTTCACCCGCATAGGCGATCTTGGCTTCACTTTGGGGTACCCTATCAGATTTCCTAAACTCATATCCATATTACTTCTTTACTCGTGACTCTTCTCCTTGATGTTACTCATTAGTTCTAGATGTCCCTTGTTCTCGATGTAGTCATCTAGGTTCTTATAGTCTCTTCTCACTTATGTACTATGATAGATAAGGTTCTCCCTTCGACTATTCCTGACGATCATGATTCCACCTTAAAAATTGACTGAAATATCTTCATGGACTTCCTATGGATTGGTTGTTCTTTACTTGGTGCTCAACCTAACGCTTTCTTGTTGTCTGTTGTAATCCTGCTTCCGCCCGTCTTAACTATCTTCCTTGACGCATACATTGCAAGGTTGATGCCAACCATTTTTTTTTCTATAACTTCCCACTGTGTTCTTCTTGCTTCTTTACTATTACTACCAACAACCTACAACTCTTCTGTTGTTGCTTGTACTATATTTGGTCACCAACCTCCGTTGAGTATCTTCTCGTTGTTGTTTTAGGTCACCACTTCCAATGGTGGCTTTCCCTTGGTAACCTTTAACATAAATCATTCCATGTCTCTTTTGTTGATCGATCCTGTACATAAACTTAGTCTCTTAGTTAGGATTCTTAGTGGCTTAACTAAGCGTGCCGGTTTCATCCTTAACTAGTTGTCTCCTCTGGAGCACTCCTACTATGCCGCGCCCACTCAGAGTGGGGCACCTTGGATAAGGTAACTTCTCTTTTTCCCTCCTTCTCGGTAATGCTTTTCCTCGTCGTACTCCACTATGCAGTTTCTTGAACTCAAGCCACCTACACATATTCTCAATCTTTCATCGGAACTTCCATGTGCTTCCTCGAATTCTCTACCATACACTAGAACATTTATTGAACCTTTCACTTACTCGTTTATACTTGGTTGGCTTAGTGACTTACTCTTATAGCTAGTTTCGAGACTTCCGCTCTTGGCCCTCTAGTTCCCACTTTAGAATTTCCCAATGGATTCCTTGAAATTCCACGATTTTCTGATTCTCTTTGATCATGGTAATTTGCAGGGTCTCTCAACCCCTTCTCATACCTTGTCCTCTAGCTTGCGCTTGACAGGTGTATAGCATGTCTGATCTAACCTCAACCTCTACATCATTTATCTCGTTGCTTGTCTTGTTCCTTTTATAGGCTTGCTATCAGCCTAACTCCCCAGGGTCGTTTACCCTCTTTTCTAGTGACGTAGTTTATCTATAAGGGTCCTTTATCGTTATATGTAAACGACCATGCCTCCTCTCCGCCTTGACCTTTTGACTTCTTGAAGTCCTTTCATACTCCCTATAACCTACTCATTTCCTCCCTCACTTCATTCAGACGACCCTATCGTTACTTAAGGTTTAACTTTCCCCTACTCCTTATCACCGTGTTGTAATAACATCGGCCACTAATGTTCTGCTTCGTTTCCTCCTTGCCGCTTAGGGTCAAGCATCCTCAAATCCTCATTGTTGCTAAAGACGCCCTATACTTCTCGTTGTAAGGTATTAACCTCATTGAACCTAGATCTTGGTCCAATGATGACCACGTAGGTCACCAAGGACCTCATACCTTCTAAAATCTGCCTCCTGTCTTGAGATTCGACTTGAGTAGGCCACGTTTCTTGCCTTCTTCCTTTCATACTGATGATCGCCATCCGCCTTAATCTCTTAGTTTATGTACCAAAACCTGCTAGCTAAGTAGCGTCCTAACTTCATCTTAAACCAATAGCACCCTCGTGTTACCATCTCTTCTTAGCTTGATAGATCCTCCACTTGTTGCCTAGTTGTAAAATCCTCGAGGTATTCCCTTACAATTTGCACCTCCTCTTCTAGAACTATAGTTATCTACCTTAATACGATTAGAGTAAACTAGAGATTCTAGAGACTCTTAAAAGAAGACCCTTGACTCATTTTCCTTTCCTTTAAAACAAAACCTTTAAAAACTTAGACCAACATTCCAGTATTCCTTGGAAACCAAGGAACAGAGGAAGACAGGCTCTGATACCAAAATGTAACACCCTAACCCGGCCGGGTACTACTTTTACTAAAATGCCCTTAATAAATAAAATACTCAAATCTTAAATTTCAACTGGGAAAAATTTTCGTAAATAAAATACTGAAAACACACACTTGTAGTTCAAAGCAAAGCCCTAACACATGGGCAGATTAAGCTCAAACTTTAAAATCTCAACCTGATCTCCAGTCTATACTTATAATCATAAATGTAAATAACTAATAGTCTCCAATGTTGTTGCTATTGAAACCTTGACTAAGCATCCTCTGTGACGCTTGTACTGCCCTCCTCTAGCTGCCTGCCCTCGAATACGCTGCTCACTAAATGCTCCTCTAGCTCTTCCTCTAGCTCTCCAAACTGGTGAGTGAGATGGGGTCAGTCTACGCCCTTACGTCTAAATACTTATTGTTTGAGCCTAGTAAATACTAGGCGGTTTTGTGGAGCTGGGACGAGGCGTCTATATCGGGATGACGGAGTGACTTCAGAGATCCTGCAAAACAAGGGTCCGGGGCGGTCGCCCGGGACACTCTCCGACGCTTAAGTTAGAGAGAGAAGTAGAGGTAGAATGTATTTATGATAGAGAGAGAGATAGTCGTTGGTCTTACCATTAATGCACTCACCCTCTATTTATACCTGGTTGAAGGGTGGTTGGGGCATTAAATGCTGTGTCAGGCGCCTCAGACCTGGTCGGGCGCCCCTTCAGGCTTTTTGGGAAATGTCAGGCGCCCTGGGCAGGCTTTCAGCCTTTCTGCAGGCCGCCTGTGGCGGGCAATAAATGCTCAGTCTTGCCTGACACCAGATACGCATCTTCAACGGCTCTCTGCCCCTCTGCGATGCTCAGTTGCTTTATGTCAGGCACCCTTATCTTAGTCCTCGGGTTTGCAGTCGATCATGGACCGCCCGCTGACCTGGTCTTTCAATCGGGCCTGGCCTCCTTATTGGGCCTTCAAATCCGACTCGCTTCTCTTGGGCCCAAAGCCCAAGTACGCTCAACTACGCGGCCCAACAATTGCCCCTTAGGCGGTAAAAGCCTAGGATTTTGGCGGCTACGACTAATGCGCTCCAGCTAGTTGAGCGGTTC